GGTTGATCTTAGACATATAAAATAGAAAGCTCGTTAGAATTGAAAATACGGCTACAGCAGCGATCGACTTTTGTAGCTAAATTATGGAGGTCGGGGGGGAAACTGGGTGCCTTTGAGGTCACCTTGAAAAATATCTCGTAAAAAGTGAAAAAACCAGACTGGTTCAAAATAAACGCAATATTTGTTCATGGGATAGAAGTCTCGACTTTTACAGTAAAAATTAGGGAAATCGGTGAAAGTCCGAAATTTGCCTTATCCGTTCTTAGGCGGACAGCCTCTTAATTTTGCTTCCGTTGCTGTAGTATTCATTTTTACAGGCAAAAATTGTTGATGTGCTTATTATTTGCATATATAATATTACCCTGGGTTGTACACAAATATGGCGACCGGAAATGATGTGACGTCACGTGAAAACGATCTATTGATTCCCCGATTCTCCCTTAGGGTTATATACGTGTCCATTGATTTACATTTGAATGGCTTTGAAGTGTGACCGCTGAGCTGAGAGTTACGTAGGAAGTACCCATAATTATCGCATAGTGTGGAGCATATCGAAAGAGAATTGAATTTTAGCGTTCGGCCATCTTCTGGTGGAGCATCGTCAGCAAAAGTTAAGAATTAAGAATTGAATGCAAAACAACGTTATTAGCCCGGGCATCATATTACGATAGATACTTGAGGGATGTTGAACGAGCTGAATGAGGCTCATAAATTGATAGCTGTAACGTAGATGATTTATAAGTTTCAAACCATCAATAAATATGAACGTGGATATTTTAGTTCGAAGTCACTTGGTAAATTGTAAACTGCGGATGCAGACGGTAATACTTTTTTATTTTAGCATCTTCTGTGATGAGCTGCAGATTTATGCAGCAAAGGAGGTAAAATATATGAACTTCATATATTCATTGCATCTCAAAGGAGGTAAAAGAGCATAGGAAAAGGGATAACATGCGTAAAACAAATTAACAATTTGACGCATAACTCTTTTTGTACAACATTGTTTTCAAGGTTGTATGGCGTGGTCATCTTGGAGTGGCGTCTGCAAAGAGAATTGCAGTGGCGTCTTACAGAAACGGGAAAGAGTCGGTATGTGACAAGAGGAAAGTCTTAGAATTTGTTACTCGAAAGTGCAATCACGAGTTTTTACCTTCCTTTTACAACTTCAAAGACTGTACAGGTATTCAGTATAAGCTTTAACTCAAATGGGGAATTCTCATGTATAGATTGCAATATAGACTGCAGTAAAAGTCAGTGGCATTACGCAGTGTGCAATAGATTGACAACCAAGCATGAACTATTACTGACTATGGTTTAGCAAAATATAAAATACCTTCCAGAATTCAACTGCTCAAGGACTCAGCAATCGCGGCTTTTTCAAAGTAAGTGGTTTTATTTGTAAGGGGGAAGTAAAGGATTCCTCGTGCGTGGATAAAAATGTTCCACAGATATCCCTTAACTGGTCTTTTATCGACTTTCAAATTCTTTGTAAAAGATACTTTGATTTTATTATCTAAGTGGATAAAGTGAATTGGCAACCACAAAGATAAATAATAATAAAATAATAAATTAAGAATGGACATTCCACTGGGTGGCTCTTCCTTGTCCACTGTTTCCAGATCGAATTGGAATTTGGAATGTTGGTTTTTGAAGAGGGAGGAAAACCGGTGGACCCGGAGAAAAACCCTCGGAGCGAGGACGAGAACCAACAACAAACTCAACCCACATGTGACGCCAGATCCGGGAATCGAACCCGGGCCACAGTGGTGGGAGGCGAGTGCTCTCACCACTGCGCCATCCCCGTTCCTCTGAAGCTGACGTTTCGAGCATTAACTCTGACGAACGGATAACACTCGAAACGTCAATTTAGAAAATGTTTCGGCGCAGGCCAATTTACATTATCAACTCAGTTTATGAAACCCTCCCACTGATGCAGCACCACAATTTATTCAGAAACTTTACCTCACCCCATTCCTCCCGTTTATCGTTGCAAAACAACATAGTGCACGCTTATTAATTTTTGTCGCACGAAGCGAAGGCAACTTTTTTTTTATTTTGGCGAGTGAGTGCTTAGTAGTTTCTAAGTTGAAATCATAGCTGCCATCTTTGACTTTTACGGCAGCGGACAACGGGAGAGAAAGAGAAATCTAAACTGAGCGACAGTTAAATGGAAGGAGAGAGGAGGGAATGGAATTGATGCTGCATATAATCATTAGTTTCCTTTACAAAAGACTTCCTTCTGAAATTAATTCTTTTGTGAGAGGTTTTCAAAAACCAGAGTTATACTGGACAAAATATGGGAAGCAGCTTTCCAGATCGTGGTTGCAAATAGATCCTAATTTACTTTTGTTCTTTCATGTTAAGTTTATTTTCCCATTTTTAAATTATGCTTGTTAATTCCGTGGCCTTTGGTTATCTTTCTGCTTTAAGGCTCTCCCCGGATCATTGCGCCTCCAATAGACCAATCTGTTACCGAAGGATACCCTGTAAACTTAAGTTGCGTAGCCACAGGTTTTCCAACACCAACATTTGCCTGGACTTTTAACAATGCTGACCTGCCATCTGGTATCCATCAAACTGATCAAGAAGGAGATTCATTCCTGGAATTGCCAAATGTTACAAAAGAGATGAATGGAACTTACAAGTGTACAGCAAAAAACAAAAAAAATACAACAAGTTCCTCTGCAACACTGCTTGTTTATGGTAGGTTTTATCAAAAAATTATGTTGTTAAATTAGCATAAAGATGGATGTAAAGGTAAAGATGTTGGAGATGACGGTGGAGATGAAGATGACGGTAAAGGTGAGAAAGGAGGGAAATGGGAGCTCACGGGTTGTGCAGATGGAAAATTACCACAGATACTCCTTCCCACCCCTTTATAAACTATCACCTCCTAAGAAACAGAGATTTTTGCGAAACAGAGGACATGATTTTACTTTACCTGCTGGTAAAATAGAACGCTTTAAGAGATCCTTTATTAATAGGTGTCTTTTTAATTTTATTTAATTGTAATTGATCTTAAATTAATTGTTTGCAAAGTCACACGTAGGCTGTGACTACATGAATGAATGAATGAATGAATAAAGACTCATTATTATTATTATTATTATTATTATTATTAGATAGACTGCTTCCATACTACACACAAATTGGATTATGAACTGATGTGTACAGACAAAGAGACCCTGAGGTTTCATTATTATCGAGGTTAGAATTTTCTTAAGCTTGAGCAATGCAAAGATAAAAAATGCGAATGTCTAACGATGTCCTGCCTGGTGTTTTTACATTATGTAGGATAAAACTAAGTCTCGAAGGAATTTTTTAAGTATAAAAATATTCTCTAGAGTATTCTTAATGGCTCTAAAAGCTCTCAATGTTGTTGGATATATTTGGTAGCGCTATGCGTTTGTTTATAGCGTTGCCATCTCGCATGGAATGCCAACCTTCAAGAATTAGTCCTTGTTGCCACGCCAATGATCTGTCAATAATTTCAACATTCTCCAAATCTCTCCGGAGACTGTGAAGCATATGGTGTTTAGCCAACAAAGAGTTTCCATCCAATGTTGCTATGGCCTTTGTGTTTTCTTTAACGCGTGTTCTTTTAGCACGCGCAATGCGTGACCAACGTAAACACAATCAAAATCTGAACATTTGATCTTCACACGATTCTACTGGAAGCGTCTTCCTCGATATTGTCTTTTGACTTTTTGAGCATGCTCGAGATGGAGCGGATAGGCTTATGGGCGATCTCGATGTTGAAAACTCGAAGAACTTTAATTTTGCGACTTTCTTGAAAAATCATTTGGCATAGGGCAGGATTTTCAAGCCACACTGGTCAGTATCATTCATTTCTTGGTTATCCCGCCCTATGTATAATTCTTGCTGAAGTTTCATTACTATCGAAGTTAGAATTCTCTCAAGTCCGTGGAAACTCAAAATTCTATTCCAGACTCGACAGGATTCCGCTATTTGAGTCAAATAAGTAGATCTGGAAAGATTGATAAAGGAAGCTGTTACGTGCACGAATGACCAACAAATGTCCGCTAACAAAGCATATATCAAAAATAGACTCCCGAGTACGATATATGGCACGCAACAAAAATGTAACAACAAGCAGTTACCCATTTTAACTATTATTTAATTAGTTTTACATTGTCTAATTTACTTAGGTTAAAGATTAAGTTAAGCAGTTCATAAAGCAGGCTTACAATCCTTCATGCCGTGTAAGTGTTCGTCGTCTTGATCAACTTCCAATTCCAACATCCGCCGACTGAAGACCACAGCGCTTGGCTTTCTTGATTTATCGCATTCTTTCCTTGTACACAAATTCTTCCGGAGGACTCCATAGTAAACTCTGTATTCTCTATCTTCTTCCTCTCTCGACTATCGTCTTCTTCATCTCTTTCTTCTCTCCGGATGTCGCAAGGTCAAAGGGTCATAGCCTCGTCACATCATAACTTCCACAAGTTGAGTCAGCAAGCCACGAGGGTAAGCCCTGGGGCAAAAATCTTTTGTACTTCTCACAAGCCAGCTTTTATACATTTACTTTAGTTATCTAGAATGCTCTATTACTATTTATAGCGTATTACAAGTTGTACTATTTTTGGAAACTGCTGAGTCACATGAAAGAGGTTTCTGGAATATTGCAGATTATAGATAATTCTAGAAAAGTCTGGGATTGCGTGACAGATTCAGTAAAAATAACTCGATCCCCGTAACAAAGGAAAAACTTCGAGTAGTGGCGCTATCGTCTGTTGATGAATACGAAATACTTCAAAATATGCTTTGTACATCTCAGCGGGAACATTTTAACGAAGATATCTCTGTGACAGAGAGATCCATGAGGTTCAGAGTAGAGGAGAAGGATTTGAAAACGAAAGTGAAACTCAAAAGCCATTTTGCGTGTGATACAAAAGTTAACAATCTTGACAATAAACAAGGTCGTGGAAACACAAAAGAATGCTTTCATTCCTGAACGAAATATGCGGTGATATGGCGATCAAATGTTCGAGATAATTCCCTTGGATATTTACCTCTCTCGCATGTATCCCCAGAGTTGATTTGCAGAACTTTTGAACTGATAATGAGACTAAGTCGATTGAAATATACGAAAAACATTATATTAACGCCACATCTGGATCGGGTCGTTTCCATATTATTGTTTATTTGTTTTTTTTTTTGTTAGTTTGTTTTGTTTTGATACTGCATCTGTAATTTTCATGTGACACTAGGATTTTCATCGATTTTCTCTTTCCCAATGTAGGAAAAGCCTCTGCTCAAGTTGTTCCAAAGACACATCTAACACTCACAATAGGAGAAGTCCTCACATTGACCTGCAAAGTCAACAAGAAAACCGTAAACATAATATGGAAAAAAGATGGAGAATCATTTGAGGAACGAGCAGTTATAGATACCCGATTAGATGAGACAAAGAGTATACTTGTTATTACTAAGGTTGTGGAAGAGGACAGTGGTGAATATTCTTGTGAAGCAAGTAACATGCTAGGAACTGTGGCTCGTTCCTCTGTTACATTGGACGTAGAAGGTAAACCAGTGTGACTGCAAGGCCATTGCTGTAAACTAAAACCTTTTTATGTTTCTAAACTTTTCCATTGTTGTTTTTGTTGTTTTCTCTTTCATCTTCTTGAAACTAAAATCATCAAATCAAAACGAAGTTACAAACAATAGCAGCATCTCATACGTGGAAATGACTATATCATCTGTTATGATGATATTTTTTGCATTTCGGGTACTTCTCCAATTTGAATTTACATTTACACGGATCTTTTAACCACTTTAAAAGCAGTCTCACCAAAAAAAATAGATAAATAATTAAATAAAATAACTTTAAAAAAGTAACTCCGATGTCCAGAAAACATGAATATGTCTTTCGGTGCATGTCAGAGTCATTGGAGGTGTATTATATTTGTCCTCACAGAACTACCCGCTGTCAAAATATTTCCAAAAGAGCTACCTTCCATAGTGAAAGGAGGGAAACTAAAATTGACTTGCCTATTCCAGAAAGAAAAGAATGTAAACTGGAAAAAAAGATGGTGCCACTAACATTTAAAACGCAATAGTCAAAATCGAAAAAGGGAAATTAAGAGCAATATCACCATATCAGATACTGAGCCTGGTGATAGCGGTAAATATTCATGTGAGGCGTTCAACCAAGCTGGCAGTAGATTTGCTGAAGCAATGGTAAACATAATGGCACGAAGGAAACTCGCTGGTCAGAGTTGTCACAGTGTATTTTCAAGTCATTTCCTATTGTACTGTATTGGATGTTTGTTACCATCAACCCATCTCTCTCTCCTTCCATCAATGGTCAAAATATTATGCTTCTTCCTTCTTTTCTTCTTATCATCTATCTGCCTCATTCTGCCAAGACAAATAGATAAATAATTCTACCCCTTTAGCTTTATACCCCGAGAATTAACGACACTGGTTGCCTTTGTTAATAAACTAATTTGCTTCCTACATGGAATGCGCCAGCCCCAGCAGCTCCTTCCAGCAGTTCACTGGAGTGGTACTATATTGGCGGACCTGTGGCTGCTGT